ACTTTATTATGTAAATCTTATAGTCGCATATTTAATCAGTAATATTTTAATGTCAGGATGGATTGTATAATACAAATGACAGCAATATTGGAACACAATGACTACAAAACTTTGTCTGCATCAATTTAGAGTGCCAACATGTCCTCTTTTTATTCAAAATATTGAATCGTAAAAAAAATTCAGTAGTTATGATACCTCAGGCTGACTCGTATAACAAAATTATTTGACCCCATCAACCAAAACTGACCATATTTGCACTTTATTTTGTAAATGTATATAGCCTTATAGTAAATCAGTAATATTTCTATGTCAGGATGGATTGTATAATAAAAATGCCAGCAATATTGGAACACAATGACTTCAAAATTGTGTCTGCATCAATTTAGAGTGCCAGCATGTCCCCTTTTTATTCAAAATATTGAATCGGAAAAATATTTCAGTAGTTTTGATACCTCAGGCTGACTCGTATTAACGAGTAATGGGGTTTAATTCATAAAACAGTGGGATTTTCAAGTTTTCGTACTCAACAATGCTTAGAGCAGTTTTCATGAAACTTTGGTGAATAGTTTATATCTATTGACGTTAGCTCCCTTTCCATTTTATAAATTTTAAAGTTTACGTGTCTGAGTTATGAGAAGTTATTCATAAAAAGAATGACTTTTCCAGTTTTTGGACAATAACTCAAAAGTGCCTTGGTCAGTTTTCATGAAACTTTAGTGACTGGTTTATATCTATAAGAATAACCTTCCTTTAGGTTTTCTTTAATACATTTCTGATTTTTCATTACGGAGTTATTGAACTTTATTCTTTGAAAGAGCGACCGGAGTGTCTTGCACTCATAACGCAACTCTGTATTAATTAATATTGTAAATTTAACAATCTCTAAACTATTTGTCAACGGCTAAATTGCATATATATATAAGAAGATAAGGTATGAGTGCCAATAAGACAAGTCATAATTCGTAAAACGTTAACCATTATAGGTCAAAATACGGCCTTCAACACGGAGCCCTGGCTCACATCGAACAACAAGCTATAAAGAGCCTCAAAAATGACTAGTATAAAACCATTCAAACACAAAAACCAACGGTCTAATCTATATATAAAAAACGAGAAACCAGAACACTTATGAACCATCAACGAACGACAACCCCCGAAAAACAGGTTCCTGAAAAGTTTAAGACAGGTGCAAACAAATGCAGCGGGTCTAAACGTTTTAACAGGCACCAACCCTTCACCCTTATCTGAAGTAATAGTGTAACATCACAACACAGAAAGACACACTATGAAATATTTATATACATTTATCACATCAGAATATAACCTTCATTGTCACCAATTAACATAAACATTATAATTTTGTAAAAATAAATTACTTATCAAATTGAAATTGCTAAACTAAAAAAAAAGACATATTAATAAAAACAATAAACATACACTGACCGACTACATTTGATCTATAACACAATGTAAATACAATATTAATACAAACGGGGGAATGGTAAAACAATATCAGAAAGACAACTATAACCTTGAACAAAATGGCATCCTTTTTTATCAGTTTTAAATAAGATTGGTTGACTGGTGTTTAACAACACGTTCATCGCCTTTTTGCTATTTCTAGGCGGTCAGTTTTTATTTGTGGGGAAAGCCTGAGTGCATGGAGAAAACCGAGGAATTTCGGTGTGAAAACTAACATTCATAAACAATTACGATTTGCCACTTGCGGGATTCGAACTAACAACCTCGGTGTGAACAGGCTAGTTATAAAGTAGTTACACTTTTAAGACCACTGGGCCACTGATGCCCCTATTAAATATTTTACTCTATCATACTTATTATTTTTCAACAAAGTGCAAATAAACAATTACTGAAAAAAAATTGTGAAAAATAAAGTGTTCATACATAGATATAAATGTTAGAATTTGTTGAAAAAAATCAAAAGGAAATTGTATGATAAATATATTCAAGATTAAAACGATACATAAGAACATAATGTAGTTTACGTAAGTGTGCTCTAACAAAAATGAGCTTTGTATCAGCTATTCTTGTTTTTGCTTCTATTGATAGAAGTTCACGTGTTCCTTTGATGTCGAAAAATTCATTTGCACGCCTTTAAACCAACCTCAAAAGGAAAACAAATCAAATATCGTCATTCTTTTATATGCATTTACGCGTAATCAATGTCATAATTTTTCAGACTTTTCATATAACTTAAATGTATTATTACCAACGATCTTTAGCATGTAGACAATTATCCAATAGGTCACACGTTTAAATAGAAAGAGTCTACATTCAATAGGCTACGTTTAAGCTATCATTTTTACTGGATTTAAAGGCGAGACTGTTTGAATATGTCTACTTACAAATGCTGTTTTCCCAAACTATAATATAATGTTTTGTAAATAAATAACATGTCATGATTTAATGAAAAAGACCAGACTCAACATCACCAATTTGAACAACAATTATCTTATTGACGATTCTGATCTCACTGTAAGTTCAGATTATGCATTTTATGACTGTTTAACCTCTTACTTTGATTGACTCAATATATTCAATGACTTTTATTTTTTGTCTCTTTCTTGTGATTTTGATATCACCAGCTCGTTTATTATCAAAGAATCTACGGTTATCAAGTAAACCGTTATCATGATTATCTGGTCACAAGTTATCCAAAATCCTTCAAACATTAAAATATTCCATTTGCAACAACATAGATATTTTGCAAATGAGCTAAACTACAAATAATAAGTGTAATTGTCTCATTATCGTTTAAAAGCTGAAAGTAACATATGCTGCTGAGTTCGTGATTTGGCACTGAATAAAAGGCAGAGGATACAAGATCAAATGGATAAGATACTAAGTGGGCAATCAAAACCCATAAATCAATGAAAAAAGCCCAGTTTCATGGGAAAAAAAGAAAAACGACTAAAAGATAAACTGTAGTTAACAAAATACAACACCAAATACTACCAGTTTAGTAGCACGACACAACATCAGCAGTTTTTTGCTCCAGAGTAAAACATGTCGTGTTGCTCATATAAGTAACAAAACATTGACAAGTCGCGTCCAATGAACGTACAGTCACATGAACGAGACCTGGGTTCTCTTTACATGTGGAACATATCCGTGATCTTCATTGGTAGCGTTTTGTAGATAGAGCTGATTACAAAATCCCCCAATACTTAATATCAATAGACATTCCATTTGGTTAACCACATGAACCACTTGAATCCCAGACATAATCTCTAGGCTATATTCATAGATAGACAACAACTCGGAAATTGTATTTGTATATATATAATTGAATAGCTGTCAATGTTTTTTTTCAAAAAGACGCAAAGTAAAGAGATGGGTAGTATTAAGGTATAGGGTTAACTTCTGCGGATTCAGAGAAAAATACATGTTGGAAAAATGCCGCCATTTCAGGATATTATCATTTATGACAATTCATATTAAAAAAAAGTAGGAACCTTCTTTAGGACCCTGTATGGTCTGTTGTTCATTAGGTAGAAATATTTTTCGGCTACGTTCGTGACCCAAATCTTGGTAATTCAGAAACATAAAAAGTTTGAGAACAAACAAACCAAAAGGTTCCCAAACAATGCATCCATCTCCGTCTACATTCATTTTTCATTTATCGAAGCAGTTGCAACATAAGTTCAGGTACATTAATTTACGCATACTTTACTGTTGATTCATTACAATTTTTTTTATACCAATACTAGTTAATATGGTTGTTATTTGTGAGCCACGAATTTATTGTTTAACGAAATACAAATTATGGATTTCGGTAAAACAACGGTATCAGATTTTAGTGTAAATACATTTTTTTTCTTTATCCACGGGAATTGGTTTCCACGAAAATACGCAATGCACATTATTTAAAATGCATCAATAAAAGTTTTACCGTAGCACTCAGTGGATGGTTGTCCAGTTGATTAATAGTTTTCCAGCAGCATTACTGACATAATTAAAGTACAGAACGTATGTCAAATCTCACATTTTTCTTATAAAAGCCATACCACTTACTTTATTTACATTTAGCGCTAAGTCTGGGTAAAACATGCTGCTATTCCATATTTTGTATATCAATATTGTATGACATTGATGTTTTCTGGATTGGTTGTTATGATAAATGATACGATGTAAATTAGTTATGTTGAACTGTACCACCAATGATTGACAGTCCTGTTTTCATCGATATCAGTTTTTCACTGAAATGCATTTAGCGTTTAAACTATAAGCTTACTTTTTTCAGTGTTATTTTTCACTTGTTCCAACATTTAGTCAGTTCGGGTGAAGCTGGATTTTTTTATTGGTTTAAACTCCAGATCTTTATAATAGCAATGCTTAATTGTCAGTCGACATGAAACAATTAGTTAAATGTGTTTGATTAAATAAATCTAGAAGCAGTAAACGTAGGTAAATATAGAAATATAAATGTTCTTCTGTTTATTTCCTAATATCATTAATTCGTATATTTTAACTATTTTGATTCGTTCGGGGATAGTCACATGTTACACTATATTTTCGAAGGTAGATAGAAAACGGCAGATAGCAAAAGTGATATTGCACGGTTATTTCGAGAATATCTAAAAACCAATACACTTTGTGACGTTATCTTATGAATTTCATGATATTGTTAAAAACATTTAAAAAGTGTATGTTTTTATGATCGATTATTTGAAAAAAAATTCTTTAAATACATCAGATGTACACAAGAAAAACATAAAAAAATAATTGAAATAACAAATAATATGTTCTTATTGTCAAAGAGACAATATGGTATCGATAGTATTCCAACAAAATCAAATAATCGAAAAAAGAGAATTTTGATACAAGTATTATCGGAAATTAATAATATAACAATTGTAAACTTTGTATGAGGTCGTTCAGTACAGTATATATCGACCCAAAGAAGTATATCGACCTCGAACTTCATCCTTAGTCAATATACTTTTTCCAGGTCATTATATATGTGTTTCGATCTCATACAAAGCTTATATCTGTTTAGTACGTCAGAGGGATATTATCTTGTGTACTACATTCAAATATCTATTCCTCTGCACACGATTAAAGCATTTCAGTAATCATTTTATATCTTTTATTAACCATTTTGGTGGTAAAATTACAGTGCATACATACATTGTTACAATAGAAATGGAATTGAATTAATGACAATGTAACTGTTAATATGCGACTAAGAAATATTAAAACTTTACAAGTCTACAATGTGAATAAACAGTATATAATTGTATTATAAGACTGTTTTGAGTTCATTTAACATATACAATCATATTCACAATAAATATAGAAATTCAATAATCCATATTCTTTGTTTTTCTTTTATCTAAGAAAAACATGCAGTATTTTGTGTCTTTTATATAATTGCTAACAGGGATCATGAGGAAAACTTGATTTTTCTGTATGTAAACATATATTCTATGTTATTACAACCATCAAGTAATTAATAAGATCATGCAAACTGCTTTGTTGCAATTATATATTTGTGTGCGCTTTTTCTCCCTTATCATTATAGAAACCCTGTAATCAGTTCTGTTTAAATTATTTTCCTTGTAAGGTGTCATTACCGAAAATGATTTAGGATAACACGTGTTCTACCTTTACAATATGTAGTTGCTATTCAATAGTCATGCATTGTGTTTAATTTTTAAAATTGCTACGTGTTTTGAAGTACATTATGTTTTTGTTAAACGATTAACACTTTTAAAGTTTCAAACATCATTCATCATTAATAAAGCACAGACAAGACACATTAAAACTTAAATAATTCACCTTTATGACATAAATTGTGTCGTTCCTTTATGTTTTCAGTTCGTATGTGATAATGATTGAACTACTAATTGAATTCAATCAAAATAAACCAGTCATATATATTCATGTATCGTAGTAAAATACATTTATCTTTATACTACCAATTTAGATTATACCGTATAAAAAATCTCTAGAAAAAATAGCTGTACCAAGTCAGAAGTATGAATAGATAGACATAACTGCATACCACCTTTTCAAAGTAAAGGGTAATTTCATCAAGGTACTGTGGTCATAAGTATATCGAAAATGCCTGTACAAAGACAGTAATATGACATGTGTTTTGAAGTGGCTGATAGGGCTGAAAGTTTGATTTTACAGTTTTGCGAACACCACCCTTTTTTTATTTAACCTGTACATGTAGTTAGGTTTTCTGGTTCATCTTTTTTGTCGACATTATAAGCATGGTAAAAATTAATTAATACAATCAATTACTTATCGCTATTAACCTATTTAGGAAATATCAATTCAATGTCAGTGCAAACATAATAAATACACGTGAATCTATAATGCATGTTAATTGTGTAACGTCAATTATTTCTATACTGTTTTAAGCTTACACGATTGTCATTTACTTTCTTAAATATTAATGAGTAATTATGTTAATACAATTCTTCCGTGAAAAAATAAGTTTCACTCTTCAAAGACATTTATGTTTTCATCATATCTTAACTGTTCTTTATTAAGTGCTCAACTATTGAAAGCAAACATTGCTTGTCTTTACAAATTGTTCCACAAACTTTTTGAACTTTAAGATGTTCATCCTGAAAATGTACATGACATTTGTATTATACTATTAATATTTGCCAAGCATGATTTTAAAATGATCCATAACGGTCTTTATTCTTAAAATTAATAAGACTTTTCGCAAAAACTATTAATCATTTTCATAGGCATTCATCTATTTAAAAAAACAAAACGATTGGGATTGTACCTCACTCAGTCATGCAATCATAACTTGATTGGGAGTATCTTTGCAGAATGAAAAAGACCTGCTCTGATAAGTAACACAGGTATAAATCATATGCATGACACTGACTGTGAAAGTAATTTTATAACAATGAGCGAAATAACAGAAAACATATGAACTAATTGTTTAAACAATTTCGTAAGAATATTACAATATTAATCTTACGGTATCCTTATAGTAAATATTCACTGCGAGAGATTATCTTGAATTATAATCATCATCGTATAGCAACACGTAATATACAAATAGATGATCTAACTACATTGATTTGATCCAAAATATCCCGGACAGAATAAAGTGCTTGCCGAAATAGGATTTGACCTTTTCTATTCATATCCTCGTCGTTTTTGTTTTAACGGTTACAAATATGGTTCTTGTATTTCCAAGCAAAACGTTAGACAAAAAGGTTGGAACAAGAATACAGATCAACACTTATGAGATTATATCATACCAATCACAGACGCATCCCTGGCCCGAAAGCCGTATTAAGATTTTTGTTGATTTTTGGTAAAAGACACTGGTTTCATCCTTTGACAAGACAAATACATTATTTTGTTCTTTTTACACATTTTAATGGACATTAGTCTCCCTACTATTACTAGGATTACATTTGGTTAATAAGATATGTATAGAAACACATAATGCGCCTTTATTTTAATTTATCAATAATTATTTCTTTTTTTTACCTAACAGACAAATGAACATGGCCTCATTTGACCAAATGAGAATAGTCGGATCAAGTTGGTTAAATATCTTATAATATTATATGGTTTAAAAATATATGTTGATCCAAAACAAACAAACATCATTTCAGTATATTCATTATCACTTAACCTGCTACCTATTGATTTAATTTGTTAATACGTTTTTCTTATTAGCGGCAGAAACGAAAATTGAAATTGTCTCCATTGTCAAATTAACGAACTCTGTTTATAATACATGTACTTGGTTAACACGATTTATATAAGTAAACCGAACTGTGAACGTCTTGATACCAAAATTAGCGAAACGGCAGGACACATGGACAGTTTTCTTATGCATCCTCAGATAACAGAGGAACATTAGTTATGCCTGCCTAGTATGAACACATCATTATGCTACAAAGCCTTAAAGAATAGAAGGTTTGTTACCGTTTAATAAATTCATTGTACCTGAATAGTTTGTTCTATGTCCAATGATAATCCTTTAATGAGTTCCATCTCTTCAACTAGCATGCACATTTGTGTTTTCCTGACCGACTGAAAGTAAAAATATATTAGTTGCTTAATGTTGATCAACTGATAAACATAAAAAAGAGTAGTGACTACGAACGAAAAAAACACCAAGAACCTTCATATATAAATGTGAAATTGTTTAAATTGAAAGCTGCCACATATACCTTGTTTTTAGCATGTTCGTCATTGCTTTTTTGTGTAGACAACAACTCTTTGGTTCTCATACTTTGACCTAGAGATTTTTACTAGGGTTTAATGCTGTAATGGTGCCATTTTCAAAGCAGTGTATCCTTAATTGTAATAAATTCATCAATAGCAATGATTGTATTTCCAAAAAAATATAGAGACAACGTTTCAAGTGCAAGTCTTGGTTCATTTTAAAACCCAAATGAAATAATCCGGTGACTTTACCATCCTATGTTAAAGTTACCAACGTCCTGAGTTAGAAATAGTTGGTCTTTTGGATTTACGTGTCTAATTAGAATGATATAAACTGACGGGGTAGGCTCCTTATTAATTGTTATTTCTAGTGCATTTCAGACAAATTATATCTTGAAACACATGAACAGGAAAAGGAAACGAATATATTATTCGTGCACCATTATACATTTTGGACTTGAATTAGTGTAAACTTGAGTGGGTTTTTGTTTGTCCCGTTTTCAACACTACCTGATGTTTAGGCAGATTAGGTACTTAAATACATGTTTAACATGAAGATCAAATGGGATAATGGCAAATAAAGATCAATAACAAGAATCAAGCAAATTGTTTTACTGGTTTTATGATTCTCAACAACAAAAAATGTACAGATTTACATCTATACTATTAAATGCGAAGATCTCATTTTTTGTGTCTTCCTTCCACAATAAATTAATCATCATGCCTGTGTGTCCTGAAGGTACCATGCATAGTCGCATTTGTCATCCTCCCTTATGACTATTCCGTTTGGGTCATTTTGGGAGGAAAACGAAAATAAAGGCGTCCGGATATTGTTTCCGTCATCGGACGGACTTTTAAGTCATAGACAAGACTTCCGTGTAGGACTGTTTAAAATTGCACATAATTTTTATAGGTACTTGGGCGACAGGACAATTATTTTCGCTTTTTCTGCATACCATGAACATACATCATGTACATATACTATAAATAAAGTGTACATTGTATTTGCTATTTACTATCAATTCCAAGTTTACTATCAACGGTGGTCATATATTATGCAGCGATTATAGTATATGTCTGTTCATAGTATACAGAAAAACGCGTAAACTATTGAAATTAATAGCAAACAAAATAATATCGGATTTTGAAAAAAGGGGGAGGGCTTAAAAAGTTGTTCTGTCCCCAAGTACCTATGACTTTTGATACCTTTCCTGAAATTCTCCAGTCATAAAATCTTTCACAAAAAATCATCTTACAACAGTTTACATACTTTCAACTACGCTCTAAATGCCCGAGATTTCGCAGGTGTGTTCTTGTATCTCTAAAACCTAATAATGGCGAATGGATTGGAAATATTGATATCAAATTTGAATTACAAATGTAATGAAATTCTAAGAAAAATCAGAAAAATATGTTGATGCTGGGTTTGATCTTAATTGATGTTAAGAGTAGGTAACAACCAATCAACGAATATATTTGTGGTGATGAAAAAAAACGTGCTTTATTATGTCTCTGCTGCATGATTTTTTTAATAAGCTGTTATTGTTCAGTCAGTAACTGCGAGTACTCTCAGATCTGTACTTTGAGTATTTGTGTTGTGATGTTCAAGTACCCGGCAACGTCCCCTCTGTTTTTTTTTTTTGTTTTTTTTTGTTAGATGTATTTCTATTTTTATCCATCTGATGAGTTAAGCTTTTTCAACTGATTTTATAGTTTGTTCTTATGGTGTACTGTTACACCTCTGTCTCGTGTTTTGCGGAGGGTTGGGCGCCCGCTAACATGTGTACCCCCCCCCTTTCACATCCTGTATTTGCCTGTCCCATGTCAGGAGTCTTTAATTCAGTGGTTGTAGTCTGTTTGCTGTGTAACATATTTGTTTTTGTTCATTATTTTGTACAAAAAGTAGGCCGTTAGTTTCTCGTTTGAATTGTTTTACATTTGTCATTTCGGGACCTTTAATAGTTAAATATGTGGTATGGGCTTTGCTCATTGTTGAAGATCATACGGTGAAATATATTTGTTAATGTCAGTATCATTTGGTCTCTTGTGAAGAGTTGTCTCATTGGCAATCATACCACATCTTCTTTATGTATATATATATGACTGAGATGGGATTTACGAATAACCGAACTACATTAATAAAAGACTGAACAGACGATGAAAGTTTTCATCTAATGAATTAATGTTATTTAAAACAAAGATGTGAAATCATTGATTGTTTCTTTATCTTTTATGAATATTCAAATTGTTTAATTGTGTCTATTGAATTCCCCATCAGTCTTATAATCAGTGTTAGCTTTATAAATATATCATTCTAGATAATTCTGCTCAGTGAGGTAGATTCAATATTCAGACATAACGTCTAGATTGATTGATGTGGCAAAAATTTTATACATATTCAGGAAGATCTTAAATTGAAGATTTATCTGTGTAGGTTAAGCTTTGCAGATTTCTTGAATATTTCTTCAATTAAATCCAAAAAAAAAAAAAACATGATAAAGGAGTAAAATTCAATGATAACAATTTAACCCATTCAGAAAGCATTGTAGTGAATGCTCCTTAAGTTTTTGTTCACAAGACGTCGCCAATTATAAAAAGGTCCGAAACAGACGTCAGAATTGACATGGTGTCGACTAAATTGGCAGGTGTCTCCTTATCAACAGACATGACAAATATTTCGAATATGACACCTTAAAATCATCAAACTAATGACAATTACAATAAACTTTGAACGCGGCCGTGTTCAAATATTTACTAGAAATTTTGGACATTAAATACTTTCTAATTTTTAATCTTAAACCAAAAACTGCAAAACCTTTTTAATTTTAATACATTGTAACCTATGCTCAATATATATAGCAATAAAATTAAAAAATAGTACTTTGCCAGAAGCTAAGATGATCTGAATTGTAAATCAAGAAATCTCGTCTACGGATTAAAGTGTAGCGTTTGCGAATTGGTATGTATCGGTGAAACGAAAGCTAGGCAAACTAAACGTATGTGGGCATTGATCTACGAACAACAACAATGCAAAGCTATATTGTTTACCAGCATTTTAATCAGCCTAATCAGTCAATCCATTCTATGCAAGTTTGCATCAACATCAACAAATAAACCACATAACTTACAATCCTCATCTTGTAACCTCTTTCCGTAAACAATGAATTGGTCTATAAATACACATGCTACATACATTTTTAAAGACAAAAATGTGGCAAAACACAATTCTCACCTCCATTACCGTTATGTTGTTGTCCCCGCTTATAAAGTCCCAACGAATATCGTTTTTGTGTGTAAATCGTATTACATAAACTACCCGATACATGAATATGGTATGAACTATTCTCCTGAAATTCATTTTACACCCCAGCGACAATTAACAAGAAGGAAGTGCTTGTTTTGAATTAAAACCAAAGATGAAAAACTGGATCTGCCTTACACTGTATTGGATACCTAAATTACATAAGTGTCATTAAACAATTCTCTCAAATAACCTTCTCCCTCCTCCTTCACATGTTAAGGTCTTCCATTTAATATACACTTCACTTTTTAACATGTAAACATAATTATATATTTTTATTGTATTAGACAGTTCCTCAACATATGTACCTTTGTATTATTATATACTTCCTCAACATATGTACCTTTGTGTTGTTGTATATTTCCCAACATATGTACCTTTGTATTATTGTATATTACCCAACATATGCACCTTTGTATTATTGTATAATGTCTATGTTCTTCTGTGTACTTTTATATCTACAGCAGTTTATCAGAATGAAATATATAACAACGTTGTACTGCTTGGTTTTCAACGTGCTCAATGAACATAAATTCTATCAGTAATCAAATACGGACTTCAAAGAGGTTGTGTAATAACCTATTAAAGAGGTAGCGTGGATCAGATGTTGATACTAAATAAATCCAACGATCTTTTAGAACATTTACAATCTTAGACTCTCTCATTGTGCTAAAGCATTAAACATTTGATTTTTCTTCACTTCACAAAAAGTATTCCCAATTTTAGAATAAAAGAAAAATTGAAAGGGTTGGTTCTGCTTTTTTTCACAAAAAAAAACCGACCAGCGTAGATTCAAGTATCTAGTCTTTGTGAGGAATAAATCGTACTTTATGAAAACAAAATTACTCTGATTCAAACATGAAAGCTATTGAACTAGGAGTTCCAAGTGGTGCAGTTGAAATGATCCTTTCGAAAATTTTACAAAAGCCATCACGAGTTGGCTGACCGTTATGGAATATCTGTTTCACAGATGACGGCGGATATGTTCTAATTGTCTTAACCATAATCAAGTTCGTATGTCCACGAATGTGACCAATCGAGTTAGACTTATCACCAGGTTGTCACATGTGAAGCAGAATATGTTCATCCTACCGACGCACTTTAGATCAACTCCGGTTTTTTTATTGGGTTCGTGTTGCTCAGTTTCAATATTTCTATGTTGTGTTTTATGAACTCTTGTTTGTGTTTTGGTAATTTTTATTTTCTTTTCTTTGCAATGTCGTTGTCAGTTATTTTCGACTTATGAGTTTGAATGTCCCTTCAGCAAAAATCGGTTCTTTTTTACAATAATTTTTGTTTTCCGTAGATAATATGTGTGTCATACATTCAAAGCTGTATGTATGTTATTGAATACAGATTTGTATCGAAGTTGAAATACATTCAATGTCTGAAATTTTCATTATTTATTTTAAGAAAAGGTAATTTAAGATCTTATGACAATTACAAATGTCATCTGTTCTATATAAAACATAAATCACATACGGAATATAAACGATAAAATAACAATGAATGAGTAAAGGGATTACGTCTAGAGCATACCTTTGATAACGACTTATTTATATGCATGATCTACATCTGATTGTCTTTACTAGCTTATGTTTTCGACATTTATCAATGAGCCATTGAATAAAAAATAATCTATGCAGTCAATTCATTAAGCGTGTTACCATACCTCTCGACCATTCGCAGCCTTCAACATATGAATTCTACTTCCATGCTTTAATTCGGTTAAAAGAAGATGTATACTTACTTGCATTACAGTTTTCTTGTCCCATGGTATTAACGTTTTCAAATCAATTACTTCACATTGTACTTTTAACTGTTCTTTTGCCATAGTTGCTACCTTTTCTAACACATGTATTTGAGGTCCATAACCTATCAGTGTTACGGCTTCACCTTACAATTATAAATAAAATATTATGTCAAAGGTTGTTTCCTCTCGCATACAATCAATTTATCTACATAATGTCATCAGAATGATACCTTTTAAAAGCAAAACAAATTGAACCTATGTATAATAGATCTAGAAGCATTATGTGATGTTCTTTTTTATCATTTGTTTGTTTTAAAAATGTAAGACGAGACAAAAAGTTTGTAATGTATTATCCTTGCTGCAAGTTAAGAAAACAAATTCATTAAGGTGTTTCCTATTTACAAAAAGTATTGCTGAACAGTGAATTTTGTCATAATAGTTATCCATCCTAGAATACAAAGTTACTAATTTTAAAATTACATTAAAACTATGTAAATACTGTGTTTATTTTAAAGTCACTTATAAACTGATTTTCTAAATAAAAATAAATGGAAAAGAATGCACCTATGATGCATCAAATTGATTTTGATTCGTTTAAATGTCTCGAAAACGTAATTTGTATTTAATAGATGATTAACGAATTTATTAAATACAATTATACAAAGCTGTTTTGCTTGCAAAAGTCAACATATATATTTAATAAAGGTTCTAAGTCGAACTTTGTGTGTGTTTTGATTAGTTTAACTATGGTTAATACAATCAAAGATCGTTTAAAGGTTTTCAAATTATACTGCTTTCAAGATAAGCAGACAGACAATCTCGATTATGTCAAGACGGCGATGTTTGTTTTTCTTTTGGCTAATTCTAGTTATGTATATATGTCTAGCTCGTTCAACAGCTGATTTTTCTATTAAAGACTGGTTGCAAATTGCCTTGCAAAAACAAAGGTGTCATTGCTGGCTATCTTTTATGACTGCTCAAGTACGATCGATCGAAAACAAAAACTTTTGTTACAATGATATAATATAGGACAAGGAATGATGAGGGGCGTTTTTGGCCCCCTTCCCGATTAAGTTTATATATAGATCATTGAAAGCCTTTGTATAGAAACTATTCAAAACTATGATTTTTTTTTTAGTTCCGGTGAAAGTAAGGTTGCCTAGCAACGGTTTTATTACATAGCCAAATTATCACTGATGCATTGCTTTCTCATTAAAAATTAGCATAATTCAAAATAGTATTGTTTGTTTAACAATAACTTGAAGTTGCAAATAAATAGTCACTTCAATTTCAGTTAAATAAATGCTTAACAACAACCTAGCAACAAAAATATTGCCTATCAACGGTTCAAAAATTTGAATTGTCTTCCATATGAGGTACAAATATAGCAATGTTTGAAGATTTAGCTACCGTAAATGATTTTTCTTTCTTATATGATGTCCGAGTCATCATCATTTTTTAATAAGTTACTTAGCATCCCAAAAGTTACTTAGCAACAGCCAAAAAAGATAAAATTAAATTTAACTACAAACATACATTTGTTTTTTTTTATTCTACACATTACAGTAAAATCAGATCAGAATGGTTTGTACATGCAAGAATAGCTAGCAGTAAGAAATTAAAGTAAGTCAATTGTATATCATGCTAATCAAAAATTTAGCAACCAAAATAGTGCTTAGCAACGGTTAAATAATGGTTTTTTTTTTGGTTACCTGAAGTTGGAATTTGGCATCATTATTCTATTTTGATGACGTAAATATCGAGCAAAGAAACTCATATGCCATGTATGCTGTTACTCAAAACAGGAAAAAAAAACAGTATTAAATAAAAGACAGCTACAAGGAAATTGGTCAGATTATTCGACAAAAATGCATAAATGCAAATCAGATTGTCAAACAATAAGCAGTAAGAATGAACAGTCTTTACATTAACAAGTTAGGTAAAATAAAAATAAGCTTTAAATAATAAGTGGCACAATTATAATTCATAAAAAATAGTCGAAGTTATGAATATAGCATTTTACATTTACATGATGAGTACATTAAAAAAACACAAATGTGTTAAACATACTGTTGAAAATTTAGTATCCGATTAATACGGTTTAAGTATTTATAGCCAACACGAGTTGCTCGTGCAATACCATTGTTTGTCATTCAAGTATCACACACTGTTAACTTTTTAACACTTAAAGCAATATCTTAAAGAAAGTAATATTGAACGCAAAGTTCAAAGTTCTCGTCAAGGTCGGGGTTCAAAACGTAAAAAAAAAAACACTCACAAAGAAGTGTAGACGAAGAAGACGACCTTCATTAACATTTTCAAGTTTCTCTGAAAATTTATTATTTCTATCATAGATTTCCTGAAATTAACACACTGATCGCCGCTGTATAGTATCATTTGCAAACATACCACATTTCATTATCTTATCCAAAATGTAATGCTTATGTTAATGAAACATATACATATGTACTTGGTAAGAAATAATTCATGAAACCCCAAAATATTTGAATTTGATTAAAAACGTACACATACTTCATTAAACATTAATGTTGCGGCTAATTAGTATTAGTGAAAATGGACACAGTAACAGGACACACTTTGAACCACAACCCTGAAAAGTCCTGATTTATACAAAGCCGTCAAGTGGTTTCTTGAAAAAAATATAGATTAACCGATAAAAGACATCGAAAACCAGTTAAGAAATTCAAAAGTGTCATCAGTGCAACTTCTTAAAGGACTATAATATTACATTTAAATAATAGAAAATGATATTATTTAACAATATTTCTTGTTATTATAAAATTGTATATAGTTGCAACAGTTGCCTATATTTATGATAATGACTGAATTCTGTTTAAAATGCAATCGGAAATATGTCATGCATATAAGCACAAGAAAAAAAATTAAGGTGTGCTGTGTACTAACCAAAAGTTCAGAGCAGAACATTTGAATGCTACTTCACAAGGTATCATAAAGCCTTACTTGGACACATTGTTTGTGACTCGGAGATGACAAGTCTTTGCTTTTACAGATATATAACAACTAATTCGAGCCAATTGAAACTGTGTTAAAATTTTCCTTTGAATAATAAAAAGAAAATAACGAACTAGATATTGACGATGTCCCTCTCTGCTCTGTCATATGCATGAGTATAGTTCCACATACATTTGTACTTTAGATTTGACAAATAGTGATTTTGCAGTACACAGCAAAAAATGCAACGCATGTTTACCAGGTGTTTTTTAAAACGTATGGTAAACATGCGTTTCGCCATATGTTTTACAAACGTAACAAATATGTTGTCAATCAAGAAATCAAGCATCTTGATAATGTCAGTTTCAGAAAATTTTTTGTTTGAATCAGAGTGATTCTTTACAAAGTAAGATTTCTATAGATTGTGACATTTTTATGGTATATTAATTAAATTTCTTTTTATTCTGTGTATTATATTGTCGAAACTGATGGACTGGCATGATATATATTCTTGGTATACATTTGCCAAGAATATTTCACTCAACCAAGGCCTTTTAGATAAAGTTAATAATTGCAGGGACTTGAATGAATTAGACTCTTTAAAGCCCTTAATTAAAAATGAATTTACAGAAAAATATAAAGACATTTTTGAAAATAGAATAAAATTATGATGAACTGTCAGAACACTTAACTGTAAACTCAAATGCTTCAGTAAGAAAAGAATTAGTGGTCATAATTTAGAAATATGAAGTAGTGGATAATATAAAATTCCTAGAAAGGATAGAATATGTATCCTGTGCCACTTGCTGGACGATGAAGAACACTTCCTCCGTGATTGTAAGGTTAACAAAACAACTTAGAGATAATCTATTTTAAAATTGTTTACCTTCTCATAATAATGTACACATGTTACCCAAGAACAAAAAGTAAAAGAAATGCTAATCCTCTATAACATGGAACATGTTTAAAATATTGGCTCCTTTATAAAAAATAGTCATCAGAACTAAGGGCAGAAACATAATATTTGTTTTCCATGTGTTTGATTTCTTATAGAATAGTTATTTCTTTGCATTATAATGTTTGTTTTTGTTTTTGTTTTTTGTCACAAACTAATTATAATATGTTTATATGACAATAAAAATATTTAATTTTACTGTAATGAATATTTTGAATATATTTATTCAATAGAGAAATAATGAATTGCCGAAATTTTATTTAGAATAAGTCTTAAAGATAATCTTAAACATTTGTTAAACAATGTTGAATGCAGATCAGTCTCTCTAAGTATAAACAATTTTGATTTTAGAAAATTAATTTGAAAAACACCTTTACAATAAAAAAAGGCAGGCATTGTGAAAGTATGCATTATATTAGAAGATTATATTCATTTATTATTCACTTGCCAAAAAATTCATGTAAAATATTACTTAAATTGATAGAATTATTTAAAAGGTATAACATCAAAACAAGTAGTCATGAGATAATTTTTTCGTTTTTTTTTTTATTAAGGTATATATATATGGTTCAACTTGTTTTATTATTTCATTTTATTTTGAATTTTCTTGTCATAATCACAGTAATTAAATTTGTCAAACACATATATTTTACCTGAGACACTTTACCTGTAAGTTATATAATTTGAACACTTCAATGCAGTCATGATTTCCCTTTATCCTTGACTAGTTTTTGATTAATACCTTGTGTATTAATTAAGCAACAGGGGGTATAATGATGGACATGTAGGGCCATCATGGTGGACATAGTTTTTATGGCCACCATTAATAAGATAAAGTCACAGGTAGTACTGCATCCTGTTTCCGGCGTCGGCGTCAACAATGTATTAGTTTGTGATTAGGTCTGTATATAAAAGAAGATATGGTTTGATTGCCAATTTGATGAGACAACTCTCCACAAGAGACCAAATGAAATGACATAGAAATTAACAACTATAGGTCACCGTACGGCCTTCAACAATGAACACAGCCCTTACCGCATAGGCAGCTGTAAAAGGCCCCAAAATGACAATTGTAAAACAATTCAAACTAGAAAACTAACGGCTTCATTAATTTACAAAAAATGAACGAAAAACATATATGTAACACATCAACAAACGACAACCACTGGATTACAGGCTTCTAACTTGGGACAGGCACATACATACAGAATGTGG